TCAACATATCGACCAATACGCTTGCTATGCCACACGATGAAGATCTTCGAACGAGTCATCGACGCACGCATTCGAAGTATAGTGGAGGTCACCCGAATCAGTGCGGCTTTGTAAAAGGATTTGGCACCATCAACGCCATCCACGCAGTACGATTGCTAATGGAAAGGCATTTGGAGAAACGGATTCCGATTCATTTCGCATTCCTGGATTTAGAAAAGGCATTTGATCGGATACCACACGAGCTGATTTGGTATGCGCTAAAACAACACGACGTCCCAGAATACGTTCGCTGGATCAAACTCCTCTATACGAACACGACGGGCGCCATACGCTGTGCAGTGGGAACGTCAAAGCCATTCCCAATCCAAGTCGGAATACACCAAGGATCGGCTCTATCACCGCTTCTCTTTATACTGTGCATGGACACGGTGACCAAGGATATCCAGCTGCAGCATCCGTGGACGCTCCTTTACGCAGACGACGTCGAGCTAGCAAGCGGATCGAGACAAGAGCTTGAAGAGGCGACTGTGAGATGGAAGACACGATTAGCGGAATATGGCCTACGACTGAACGTAGCAAAGACCGAGTACCTGGAATGCGGAGAGCAAACCGATGGCACAATTAGCATCGATGGGCAGCCGCTGAAGAAGGTCACGATATTCAAATACCTGGGCTCCCGAGTGACGTCAGATTGCGACACGATCATTGATGCTCGTGCTAGGACGAACGCGGCGTGGCTGAAATGGCGGCAAGTAACAGGAGTACTCTGCGACCGACGAATTCCGTTGTATCTCAAGTCGAAAGTGTATCGGACTGTGGTGAGGCCAGTCGCACTGTATGGAGCCGAATATTGGCCAGCAACCAGAAAACACGAGCAGATCCTGAGCACGATGGAGACGCGAATGATAAGATGGATACTTGGCCTAACGAGAAGAAACTGCGTCACGAACGATGATGTACGACACATTTTCGGAGTTGCACCTATCGCGGATAAGCTGCGAGGTGCCAGATTACGATGGTATGGTCACGTTTTACGAAGTGAAGATAATACAGTAGCAAAAACAGCACTTCGTCTAGATCCACAGGGGAAGAGACCACGTGGCCGTCCGAAGCAACGCTGGTTGGACACCATTCGAAACGACCTGCGCATTGTAAAGCTCAAACCACAAGAAGCAGCTGATCGAGTCAAATTGAAGCAAAAATGCACCACCGCCGACCCTGCACCCGCGGGACAATGGCGAAGATAAAGAACAAGAAGACAGTGTTAGACAGGGTCCGACAAACTTGCAAAATGCAAAAATTTCGGCAACTAAATTTTGGTGAGACACTGCCTTTAAGCACATTAGCAAATTAGCACGCCCCATCTCAGTTTAGTTTCTGAGGAAGACGGAGAGCTGTAATCAAAGGCAAAAGCTCTATTTTTAGCAAATCCACTCATTTGCAGAACAAACGGGCAGCCTACCCTTAGGGTACTTTTCCCAGCCGACCGTATCTTATTGTAAAATGTTGTGGCCTCGCATTTGGGCAGTAGCATGTCCGGCCGAGGCCACATTTTCGCATGGTACAGAAATGTCAGAGCTGCCAACCTTCGGACACTGCCTTTGAAGTTTTAGTTTGAAAAAAAGGGTTACCATCCTCTATGACCACTGGGATTGAATATCGTGCTGTAAGCTTTTTGGTAGAACAGAACAACCAACGAAAAGCGTCAATCTTTTCTGTTTTGCTGAATGGTAATTCTGTTATGTACCAAAGCGGGTGCAGAAAAGCCTTTGTCCGAGAGAGCAAGCCACAAGACTAGACTACATGTCTGTCACATCTCTACATAGCTTGTTTACCTCAACAAGTGGCATGTTGTCTTTATATTAACAAAACTCAAAAACTGTCAGTATCGAAAATATGTGCGTTATAGAAACGCGCCGCTCAACTGATTCGGCTGAAACGCGGCGATTTGTTGGGCCATTCTATTAGTTTATTGATTTTTAGCACTTCGCAATAAAAATAGATTCTTTTCACTTGCTACCAGACACTTTAACAAACAAACAAACATTGGCGGGAGAGCTGATTCGTACTTTACAGTAAGGGATGGATGCGGCGGCATAAGGCTGTAGCAGGTGAGCCTGCTCCAAGTTTGCAAAGCAGTATGCGTTAAGTGAGACAACGCCTGGGTAAGGCTGGGTGTGCCAGCTAGTATCATATAAAGCACATCATTCCTCAACAAGTCCTCGCTGTTCAAGTTAAGACCTGATCAGCCTTGAGTCATCTTTCTGACTGTAACCGAAAAATAAACGCCTTATTACTCACCAGTGCGTCACCTCTGCTTCGCAGAGGCTCGCACTGGTCTCACTTCATATGCCTTATTCATTCTTGACTAATGGTGGCAATGATACTCACCGCGCAGTGCCGATTCTCGCGAGTAAATTGTAAACAACTACCCATTCCAAATGCTTTTTCATGTGAGATCGGTGATTTCGCGTGGATGAAACTTTTCGCAGAAGAACAAATACAAATTTAAATAGGTTTTTGGACTCTTTCTGGCTTGATAGCTGCCATAAGGACAGTAGGCAACGTGAGTTACTGTGCAAAATTCTTCTCTAATGCTCAGGTAAAACCATGGCAAATTAGCTATTCACGCAACCATTTCTTTTTGGCATCGTTCTCGTAAAGTAGTAAACTTTTGTCCACTTTTTTGGACTAAATCCATGGCTTGCACATCAGCATGCCAAACACATCTCCACTTTGCAAAAAGTGGTGATACGGAACCAATTTTGCTAGCCAGAACCCAAGTGGTTCCGTTTGACGCGCAGTTTCTGAGGGATCCACCAACAAAACCACTCGTGCTTTTGCACGGTAGGCTCTTATGTTGGCCGCATGCGATGTGCAAAATTTGGGCTCAGGACGTTGGCTGGAACTCGCTCTACGAATTTCGTTACAGACAGACACACAGACATACACACATAAAAACACGTAAACAACCTTAACCCGTTATTATAAGTTATGATTGTTTGCATACGTATCCAGTGTGCAGCGAATCTGACTAAAGGTGCATGAATTTGATGAGAGATAATACCGGATGGTTCAACTTACTTTGGAGTTTAGCTTACTTACACGTCGTTACTACACCGATCAAGCTTAACGCATCGCAAAGGTAGCAAACTCTTATCTACAAAGGCTCGTAGTACAGAATCACTTATGCAAGGACCGCTCAGCATTGCTCTGGAAAAAAACATGAAAACTTCCATTGATTTTCTGTTTATAATCAGGAAAAAATGCAGTAACTGTATATAAACTTCTGATGTCTATAGTATAAACGTATATGAGTGAAGACTTCGTGGTATTTTTCGGAGAAAAATTGTTTTCCTTCGTTTCATCGGGATTCGAAACTTACATAATCGCATACAGTAGATGGAGATAAGAAGAAATTTCCGAGTGGTACTGTCAGCTGCCAGCGCTGCCGGCAAAGCCGCACAATAGTTACTTTTGTCGTCGTAAAACTCTTGATGTGAGGTTTTCTCGCACCTTGCCAGCGCTGTCCGAAATGACATGATTTTTCGATAATCATGTCATTTCGAATAGCAAAAAGTTTTATGATTTTTTGAGAACCATGCAAATAAACAAAGCCATACAGTGGAAGGTTTTTCTCTGAAGGAAAAAAAAAGGAAATCTTCAGTTACTGAAAATGTTTCAGTTCTCGCCTTTAACGTCGGAGATCGGACGAGAACAATTACAAAATGTTGTGGATATGACAGCCAGGAAAATCTGTCAAAACCAGTATTTTTAACTTGGTGATAAAGCTAAACAAGCCAATGTAGGTCAAATAAGTGAGTAGGTCAAAGATAAAAGAAATCACGTATACTGATATGAAATAGTGGAAAGCGTAGACTACAAAAAATCCAAAAGTGTTGTTCTAATTTAAACAGTTGCCAAAACCTCAGGCTCAGACTTATGTAGAAAATTTATCGCCTTTCCAGATACTTTTAAAAATGAAAAAATGATGATGAAAAAATTCAAAACTAAAAACTAGGTGCAGAGCAGAAAGTGAATAAAAGAAAAGAACCAACCTAACGACCTCTCCAAAGGAACCACACTTCGAATTCTGAAGTGTTCAAGGAGAAGTGAGTCTGATTTTCGAAACTTTTCTTGAAATCAAAAATCTTTGCATTTACAGCGTCAATAAACATTTATTGTATTTTGATGCCAAAATTTGTGACAGAGAAAAATTATTTGGTCTGTTTATTCATTTAAGCAAGCGTTTGTAAATTTCTGGAGCTTTTCGGTGTAGTTTTGTACTCGATTGTATGGTTCTCAATGGAATGTGAATTTTTTGCTGTACCATCTGCCGCGGCCTTGCCAGCAACTCCGTCGGCTGGCTGCGGCAGCAATCGGCTGCCCGGGTACCAGTTGCACGCCTCTTGGAAAATGATTGCAGTTTGCACCAATATAATATTTTCGGTTACTGCGAACATCAGGTGCATGTTTGATGTTTTAATTTAGGTCAACATATCAACTGCTCAGCAAATTTACCAATAAAAATTTGTCCGTATTGCTGTCTATTTGCGCTAATACGGTAAAATGCGTGTGGCCATCATCTCTATGATATAAGCGATGAACAAAACACAGCTTTAAGTCTTTAAGAGCTTTGAACAGAAAGTGCGCATAATAAGCAGTAGCTGTTGACCTTCCATCATAGATTCACCCTACCACACTTTTATAGCTTTTCAGGCGTCATACTTCCGGTTGATTTTGAACAAATGTCCACATTGTCGATCCTTCAGCATTCTGATGCTTTTACCGCCTCTTTGCACACTGTTTGTCAAGTGTCAAAGTTTATGGCGCTATAAACGCAGAAGTGCATTGAGCCCGTTATCATACGGGCGTGATCTGCTGTGGCTCAAAGGTCTGTTTAGGACAATCAGTGTCTGCTGAAGCATAAAGTCATAACAAATAGCTGATTTTGAAAAAAAAAGAGACTTTCTGATTCTTAAGGTTTTGAACTTATAGGATAGAGGTTCTGATAAGACATAAAAAATATTCTCGTAAACGGATAATGGCCGGTATATAATGCTGTGCAAATTCTCTATCACAGCGTCGCTTTATCATGCAACGTATAATCGTTCTATCGCTCCTTTTGGGTAAGGTTTGATTGCATCCTCAAAGTTCTCTGTAAACGCCACCTGCAATTCAGGAGTAGCATATGCAAGTTTGACTCCAGTAGGCCACTGGACTCTTCCTCCATTTACCAGGTTTACTATAAGGCCTAGGCCTACTTGGATCCCTCCATTTACCAGGTTTACTATAAGGCCTAGGCCTACTTGGATCCCTCCATTTACCAGGTTTACTATAAGGCCTAGGCCTACTTGGATCCCTCCATTTACCAGGTTTACTATAAGGCCTAGGCCTACTTGGATCCCTCCATTTACTAAGTTTCCACCAAGAAAGTCTACCGTGAATCCTCCCTACACCAAAGTTCCGCCTAGCAATCAGACCCTGATTCCTCCCTACACCGAACTTCCACCAAGTAATCGGACCCTGATTCCTCCTTACACCGAACTTCCGCCCAGCAAGCGATCTACTTGGTTCCCTCCCTTCACCAAATTTACAACAAAGGAATGGAAAACTACACCCGTGAGTTTATTTCTCTCGAATCATTTTTCATAACGTTTTATGCATGAACACAAATTCTTGCAAGGAAAGCACCAAAGTTTTTTTTGACTAATTGCGCTTTTTCAACAATGCCATTTATTCAGTGTTGTACACACTTCTGCAAAAAAGCTTGCAATGTAAACTAAAAGGAATCAGTTGATTATACGGTAAATTTCTTTTATATTCAATAAAATTCTCTAGGCTCCCACACATGAACCACACCCTGCAAAGCAATGCGCTTGTACATACAAAAATATTTGGTTAGACGTATTCTTCCTCATAGACTCCTCGGGTGTTATGACAAGTCATCGAATGGATAACGTAAGATGTTTATATATAAATGAGTTTCTTCAACATTCTCAAATGATTTCTAGGCCGTTGCATTTGCATTGTCTGTGGTGCAAAAAATGACTGTTGGACAGGGAAAGAAGGATATGCGCGTGGGGTAAAAATGATAATACTCCTACATGGAGGTTAAATTTGATTTAGAGGCTTTGTAGGTGGGTTGAATTTGCTGCCAAAGCAAAAGTGCTTTACAACCTCACACACTGGCATTCTACTGAGGAATTGACAAATGGCCTTGAAATGATCTTCAATGGTAGTGCTGGAGCAGCCGTAAACTCGTAAGTTCTGTTCAGTTTGAAAACAGTGGTTCATGCATTTGCTTTTCTCGATTCACCTATCAAACTGCTTCAGGGCCATTCGTTTGGCCTCGAGCAGGTTCAAAGCTCCTGCACATCGATTGAACGCTAAAAAACTCATAGTAATCATCGCCTCTGACGGCCAGTAAGTTACTTTCCTTGTTTATCTGATAAATCCATTTGTGCTAACATATTTCCAAAGTCCGGCTCAAAAGAAAAAAAAATGTGATATCTATCCTGTACACTATAATGCAATTTGTTTTTATCTAATTTATTATAGCAAAACAAACTATAGCGAAGCAATAAAGGCATCTCAAGATTTCAAGGCAAAAGGTGGAGATATAATAACTGTAGGTCGGCGAAGTCCTTTCTAAGTGTAGTGATAGTGTCACAATGATGTGGTTTAGAATACGCTCAGGGGCTTTGCAAAGAAAAATTGCTTGGAAAACTTGCCACGGACCCGTCTTATGCATTCTCAAATTGTGATGGGCCATTAAACCTTGATAAAGTACGAAAAGCATTCTGCGATGGTAAGATCATTTTTTGGCTAATTCTTACCGCATGTATTTTTTTAACAATAATAAACCTTGACTGATATAAATGACTTGGATTAGGAAAAATCAGAAGTGCTATTCCAGCCAATTGTTTCTGTATGAAGCAGTACAAACCGTTTGGCAAGCCAGTTAATGGATGCTATCGTGCTGTAGGCATCCCTGCGGAGCAAGTATGTTCTACCGATACTGGTAAAGTTAGAGATAACAGAAATTATTCTGTTCAGAAATTAGCTTCACGAAGTTGCTACTACCATTACTCCACCCTAGCAACCGTGCAAAGCTATGCGAAAGCCGAGTTCCTTGCCGAATGTGAGTTTTTAGAGCGTTCTCTTTTTTTGGCTTGCATTCAATAATTTGTGGACGATTGCATTTCAGTGATGCCACCGTGGGAAAGCAAATTCTGGATTGGATTGGAACGCAATTCCTATGGTACTTTTGCTTGGCCTGACGGGGAAGAGGTTGGGCGATTTGTTACTTCTTCAGTACGCTGTCCAAACATTTTGCTCAGGTACATAACAACACCTTCAACATGTGGCCAGCTGGATATCCGAAAGCGCGAGGAGACTGTGTATATATGAGCAGAACTAATGGAAGGTACATACAGCATTATCAAGCTACCCATAAATTGGTTCGTTCAGACTTGCTTGGTACAACGCCAATTGCAATAATGATGAGAACTATGCTTGTGAAAGAAGACCATGCGATACGGACAACTATTGCTTGGTAGATGACGAATAAGATGTCATTCACATTATTGTCGCAGAAATAATACTGCAAAATAAATGATGATACGCATGATACATCTAGCGTGTTATTGGAAGATAGTCTATTTTCGAATTACAGGAGTTCAAAACTGCACTCATAAACGGGATCAGATATCTTGGCCAGTAGTATTCATGCGCATCTTATCCCAAAATCTTCACAACTCAAAGAAGAAGCGATCATAAACACCCAAAACGAGTCACAACTTGGGCACGACGGGTATTGGCCACCCGCCGCAAAAAGCTCAGCGATCAGCCGTCATTGAACTCGCAATAGCTGTAGTGACCGGCGCGCAGTCACTGCGCTAACAATGTGCATTAGAAGTCTGAGAAAGGAGAAAGGTGCATAATATAGATAGTTAGACCCTCAAGCTAACCTGTTGGGATTAGTAGTCTCGTTGAACCCGTTTCTCGCCCGTGAGTATAAATACAGCTATCACTTCCTGATTGTGAACACTAGGATTTGAATATCTGGAACTGGAAGTACCGCTGCGGATAGCGCAGTGCATGTGTCGCGCGCTACTGAGCTGGACGTTTGGGAGCACAAGTCATAGATACGGAAATCTTTTGCAAAAACGATATAAAAACACATACATGTTAAGTTTTTTTCATTCTTTATAAGAATTTAGCTTTTGGATGTGAAGGGGCGTGCAAACAAAATATTTAAGATACATTGAAAAATATACAAAATTATAAGGCTTTTACTAATTCGGTACTAATTTATGCAACGCATTAGCCACGGCACCACATTTCCCTACTCAAGTGAAAGGAAAGCAACTGGTCCACAGCTAGTGAAAAGCAAAAAACAGACAAGTTCTACTTAAAACTGCATAAATTGCAAGGAATCAAATTAGCGCATGCAGAAAAACAACTAGACCAAACTGGCCGCAAAACGACGATCGAAGCTAAAAACCACTTAAGAGCAGCAAAATTGGAATAAGGGGACCTGAAGATGCATGCTAATCAAAACTGACTTACTTTGTCTAGGTTTCGAAGCAAAAAAAAAAGAAGAAATAGTAGCAAGAATGGGATAAAATTAGCTGTGCGCCTCGCGACTGTGTGATATCAGCTGTTCATATTGATTATACTTGACGTGCATTTAGATTCTTTTGCGTGCATCTACGGACAGCGGGCGGCACCATTCCCGGACGTACTCGACCGCTAGTCAGTTGTCGGCACCGCGACCTCTTTGCGTCTTCAAGCAAGACATACTATTTCCCGACTGTCTACATGACAGGTACGTTGCTGCCTTGTCATGCTGGCGGCGTTGCCGCGGCGTTACGCCCGGCATGTGCCTCTCATGTCGCCTATCCCCTGTCATGAGGCGGCAGCAGAAAGGCATTTGCCAGGCCTTTGCCGCGCTCCGAGCGAGTCGTTACGATCGACGGGGATTTACTACAAGCCGTTGAGTCTTTCATCGGCTAATGTTTGGAAACAAATTCATGATTAAAAAACAGCAGCATTCGATAGTTTCCTTGTAAAGGATATTCGTCAACGACTGCCCCAATTAGTGCAATTACGCCACCATGGGCGTGCTTTTTTGGAGCCTTTCCAGCTTGGCAGTAGAACAGGACAGGATAGGGAAAGGACAGGGAAGCTACGAGCTACCAAGTTCTCTCGCGCTGCAGTGTATTGTCAAGCTGGAAAAGCCCCAACAAGGCATGCTCAAGGTGGTGTAATTGCACAAATCGGGGTAGTCTTCGACGACTATCCTTTACTTTTCATGCAGGCGAATAAAAGTGGCATACATTACAGAACGTCAAATGAAAATGTGTTACTCAAAAAAAGTCAGTGACACCACAATTTATTGTAGAACCGCTTATGTGAGACACTTTCGACGTACCCTTCTGGTATATAGTGGCCAAATATTAGGCTATTCGGAAAGTTTTTTTCATTTTCGCACCATCAAATATAAACGAGCACGCCTTTTTCAGGTCCAGCCTTTTTCCACCAAGTAAATTTCATCGTGTTCAAAAACCTCTGACAACAAAGCCTAAAAAAATCTCAACAACCGTGACCGTGAGCGGCTGCGTTTGTCACTGCTCTGCATAAAATTCCATTTTCTTACATTCTTGTTCATTTCTCCGGATTCTTTGCCTATATATTGTCATTTCTCCAATTCTCTTATCACCATAGCCAATTTGTTTTCCTTTTGTCGTCTCATACACAGCATAAATCGAGTTTTCTAGTTTTTGAATTTCCCTCAATCGATAGCCTCACTCATGCCTTCCCGCTCCAGTAGGTCAAACACTCAGGCTACTGTTAATCGCAGCGCTAGGAAAAATGTTTCTGCTTCTCAGAGTCAAGCTGCTCGAAGTGACTTGACCGTCAGTAGGGCCGATGACGATGATCTAGGTAATCTCTCTGCTATGGAGCTGATTCATTCAATTTTGGAGAGGAATTCCGATCCAATAATAGAAAGAATGCTCCTGGCATTGAAAACGAAGATTCCACCAGATGTCGAGGCCGAAAAAAGAAGCAGAAGCATAGTCCTGGCCGGACTGGAGGAGTCTGAGCCCGGCAAGCCACTTCTGGAGCGAAAAGCTGAGCTCGAAAAAGGGGTAGCCAAGGTTTTAGAAACTCTTCAAGTAGACTGCTGGCCCGCAGAAGTCTATCGCATGGGCAAATACGATGGGATCAAACCAAGGCTAGTAAAGATCGTTTTCCCCTCACGTCGTTTCTGGACCCAGGCGCTGTCAAATTCTCATCTTCTGCGGCATTCCGACCTACGGAGCGTGTACGTCCGTAGAAGCATGACCGCTTCTGAACGGGCCAAAGATTATGAGTTGAGACAGACGGCTAGGGAAAGAAATAGAGGGAAAACGACCAGGGAATGGGTTGTGTATAAGGGCGAACTCCGTCATATCACGGAGCTTCCTCAGCGTCATGTACAGGAAACGCGTAAATCCGCCTGAAGTTTCTGCATTTCTTACATGTTTTCTTTTCAATTCTCGCAGTTTAGTTAACAAAATACATATTCTACATGCTTTTTTAGTTACCCACGTACCTGACGTTGTGTGCATTACCGAAACCTGGTTCAGCCCCAAGATTCTTGACTCGGAAATTATTGCAGATCTTCCATATTCTCTTTATCGCACTGATCGAGCGTTTGGTAGGGGTGGCGGTGTATGTTGTTTGATCAAGGAGGATTTTGCTGTGAAAAAGGTGCCTGCCCCCAATGATAGTAAGTGGGAAATTCTCTGCCTCAACATCTGGTCTTCATCTTCTCTCTCTCCCCTGCGATTTATTGTTGTGTACCGTCCCCCGTCTTCCAATGTTTATGATGATTCTTTTTTGACAGATACTATCCAAGATCTGTGTTCTGTTCCACTTACAACTATCGTTTTGGGAGATTTCAATTTTGA